TGTAGGGGTGGTGTGTGTCCCACACTGTGGCACCTGTGGAGGTGGTGTGTGTCCCACACTGTGGCATCTGTGGGGGTGGTACTGTTGCCCAACTCTCCACCATTGCTCCCCAATCCTGAGTGTGGAAATCTGTGTCCTCTATCTGTCTGGGCCATCGGCATCCTCCAGTCCTACTGGACTTAGCTGGGACCATTACAGGGGTGGGGAGGGATAGGCAGAGCCCCAAGAGGAAGTAGAGCTGAGGCAGTGGCATGTCTGGGCTTTGGATGCTGGCAAGGCCTGGAGGGCGGCAGAACTGCTGACCACAGCTTCTGGCCCCTTTTTAGGACTCAGATCTATCATCACTGCAGAAGAGGGCAGGGGGCGCTGATCAGGTGAGTCCCTGTCCACAGGCTCCCCTGGAACGCCCTGGGTCTCTCTCTCAGCCCCATTCTCAAGGCTGGCTAACCTGAAATTCTCTCTGTTACTCCTCCTCCACCTCATAGTTTTCTCAGCCTGAAGCAGCGAGACAAGAGCTGTCAGCTGTCACAGCCAAGGCAAGCTATATCCTCTCCTGACCCCTAACTAAATGCCACCCTCCTCCTGGTCACCTACGCTTGCCTCCCATGTCACACTTGGGGAGCTGGGATAGGGACCAGGGAGGAGGAGGAAGGACCTGACGGGGTGGTAGGGACCAAGGAGGAGGAGGAAGGACCTGACGGGGTGATAGGGACCAGGGAAGAGGAGGAAGGACCTGACGGGGTGATAGGGACCAGGGAGGAGGAGGAGGACCTGACGGGGTGATAGGGACCAGGGAGGAAGAGGAAGGACCTGACGGGGTGGGCTCCAGTTGGTCCTGTGGGGTAATATGAAAGAAAGCCCACGTTACAAAGCGCGGGCTTCTAAGAAACCTGTTGTCTGGGCAAAAAAGTGTCGTGTTTATTACATAATGAAATGCCATCTTCCCGTCCCTCTGCACCCGCACACCCCTTTGTTTCCCCAGAACTACTACAATAACCCGCAGGGGAATCCTACTTACAACTGGCAATACTATGCCAAGACCACTCCCAAGGTGAGTTTTGAAAAACTCTGTCTCTGTCTCTGTCTCTGTCTCTGTCTCTGTCTCTCTCTCTCTGTGTGTGTGTGTGTGTGTGTGTGTGTGTGTGTGTGTGTGTGTGTGTTTGCTTGGAGCAGGGAGAGGCCTGCCTCCTTTCTCCATCACACTGCTTTGTAAGGGGGGACCCCAGTGTATGCCCCCCCCCACTGCCCTGAGAGATGCTTGGGGGTATGTGCAGGGGAGAAACCCGGCAACAAGATGCTTGCATACGGACAGATTACAGCCACCAGGCCAAACACACAGACTTGCTTCATAGTGTGGCTTTCTTGCCCTTTGTGGGGTGGAGGAAAGCAGCCTAGCACATCCTAGACGCTAAGCTTAGGGACTCTTGGTTGGTGGGAAATTGAATTCTTTGTGCCTCAGAGGAAATTAAAAGAAAAAAAGGTGGGGTGCGGACAACTGAGAGGTTTGTTTTGCGCAGTTGCAGAGAAGGCAGTCTTAGGGGCCCACGAGCTGGCTCAGCAGGTAAAGGGGCTTGCTGCTAAGCCTCACAACCTGAGATCGATCCCCTGGACCCACACGGTGGGAGGAGAGAACTGACCTTTGCATGTTGTCCTCTGACCTCTACTTGTGCACTGTGGCCCAAATACTCTTACAAAACAGACAAATAACAAACAAACAAGTCAGAAGGCGTTCTTAGGAGCTAGGGGTGCGGCTCTATGGCAGAGGGCCCATCTAGCAGAGGAAAGGCCCTGGGCTCCGTTCCTAGCATTGCACCCAACAGCCAGCCAGCCAACCAGTCAGGAAATAAGCCAGGTGATATTAGAACACCAGAGAGTGATGTGGTAGACACTAATGAGGCTTGAAAAGAAAAGCCAGACCAGCAACTTCCTTCCATTTCCCAGAACTCCGAGGCCCTGGCGAAAGAAACCGCTTCTAAGATTAGAGAACTCGGAGCTTGGTGGCTTGGGTTAGGGTGGGGCTGGTGGCTGAGGCAGGAGGATCACAAGTTCAAGGACTACCTGGGCTCCAGAGTTCAATCTAGCCCAGTCAACTTAGAGAGATTCTGTCTCATAAAGGTTAAAAAAAAAAAAAGAGCTAGGGATGTACTCAGCGGTAGGATGCTAGTCTAGTCTGTGTGAGGCATTTTACTTGGGAAGAAATGCCACCATAGGCTGACTTCCATCTACCCCATGGACAGGAGAGATCTCCTCCTATTCCTCCATTGTGTTGTGTGTTTGGGGGCGCATTACTCAGTATCATCCTGGATAAAATGTATGCTCCGGGGGAAAATCCACAGACTGAGTATCCTCAACCAGCCTGAAGGACCTTGCTGATAATGTTGGCTTGTGCCCACCAGAGGGGACCTTGGGGAGCCTGAGGCCAAGGTAGAGCCTAGAGAGGGCTGCCATGGCCTCATGTCACCTTCTTTGATCTTCTCTTTCCAGGGAGGAGTCACGCCTTCATCATCCTCGGTGAGTATGGGGGGTTGGGAGGACGCAGCTGGAGACAGAGGGACCTGACTGAGGCTGCTGAGGGTGGAGGTCACAGTGTGAGGTCTACTCAGCCATTCCCCTTGTCCCGCAGGCTTCCCGGGCACAGCCTGGCCTGCTGAAGTGGCTGAAGTTTTGGTAGGTAAGTGTCAGAGTGGGCCGCACAAGTGGGCTGAATGTCAGGAGTAGAAGTGGCCGCCTCTGGGGCAGCCTGAGAGCTGGGCATTTCCGTGGACTTCGGTGAGCAGCAGCAGAGCAAAAGTCAGGTTTCCTCGGGTGGATACAGAAGAGGGGTACCCTCTTTGTGGGACCTGGAAAAATGGTCCAGGACACATGGGACTGTGTGTGAGTGAGGATGAAGGGCTGAACAGAGAGGGAACCACACAGACACAGAACCAAGGAGAAGGCTGGTCTGTGGTGCTCACAGACGGACAAGCCTTCTAGGAGGCCAAGGTTCAGAGGCATGATGAAGTAAGGCCCCAGGCGGAAGTCTGTTCTTCTTGGTGAGGTTTTTGTTTTGCATTTTTGAGACAGGGTCTTTCTGTATAGCTCAGGGTGGCTTCGAACTACTAATTTCTCTCACCACAGCCTCCCAGGTGCTGGTGGCACAGGTGTGTACCACCATGCCTGGCCTGGAAAGGTTACTGAGCACCTCAGTGAGACCATAAAATTTGTTTCATGAGGAGACTGAAGGTGGGCAGGGCAGGAATCTTCGTGAAAGAGTTCGTCCCCATCGACGTGGGCATGACTGTGTTCTACCGTTTATTTTTCTCCTCCTTTGTTTTTTTTTCTAGAAAATTTCTTCTAGCCACTGCTGACACTTCATGAACACAGGTCTTCAGGGAGCTTGATTGTACTTACCCACAGTCCTCTCTGCTGGGACAGGGCTACCTGGGTGTTGACAACCCCCACATCATCCCACCTAGGGACCTGGTTTACCTGTTCTCATCCTCCTCATTTGGCTGTGGTGTCTCGGAGACAAACCAGCCTCGTTGGATAACCAGCCAGTGTCTTCCCCTTCTCCCGTTTGTGACGGGGAAGTTCCCATAATGCACTAGGAACTTCCTGCTTTCAAGCTTCTCCGTGGAAATAAAACACGACTTTGTTTTCCCAAGACTTTCTCCACTTGTCGTTCTTCAATACAACCCGGCTGACCTGGGTGTGGGGGAATGGAAGGATGGGTTTCTGGCTGAGAACCTTTTTCCTGAGTGCAGAATGAGAGATGTGGTTAGCTGGAGAGAGATGAGACCCGGGCTTAGGTTCGGGTAACACTGGTCGCAGCTAGCTGACGGCTTCATGCAAGTTTCTCCACCTTCCAAAACAAGTTTTGCCTAGCACACAAATACCGTGCTTACAGTAGCTGTAGGTGTTTGGTGGCCTGAGGAGGCTGTTCAAAACGCCAGACCAGTTCTGGGGGTGGGACACACAGGGACAGGGCAGGGCAGACCAGCTGTTAGGGTCCAAGAGAAGCCCCCAAGAAAGACCAACAGTCATGTATGCAATTTAGCAAGGGCGTTTATTTCCAAAACATGCTGGGGTGGCAAATAGCGACCCCAAAGGGCAGTCGCAGCTCCTTTTAAGCGGAGTTGCGGGAATTCCAGGGAGGAGGGATTAATCTGGTGCTGATTGGTGGAGGAAAGATTGGTCTGGGGGCTGATTGGTTGGAGGCTGTAGGGGTTAGGGGTTTGTGGACCGGAGGGTAGGAAAAGCTATCTTTAGCTAGCAGAAGGCTGGGAGGCATCTGCTGATTGGTTGCCCCTGAGTTGTGGTCTTCCCGAGAACTGCTAGCTGAGCTCCAGCCAGTTCCAGTTAACCAAAACTAGGGCCTGGTCCCTGGCAGGGCTGTTAAAACCTGACTTGGCTCTGGTCTGGCTCCCCAGCCCTCTCACCAGCAAGGACTGGTGGAGACTATGCTGGGCGTGTGGTAACACTCACGGTTGGATGGGGACCGGCAGGTGGTGGCAGCGTGTAGGAAGCTGGGGAAGGAAGGGAGCCAGAGTCAGTACTGTGCCGTGCAACCGCTGCTATGCCGCTGAGGAAGGCGGGTGAACCAGCGGGAGCCGCTCGGGCACTGGCACAGGCTGAGCAGCCCCTGGGACAGGCCAGACAGCACTGTGTTTCATGGAACTGGTACAGACTGCCCAAGCGGAGGGGCCCCTGCCTCTGTCCTCCCACCCCCATATCCATGGAGGGGAGCAGGAAGTTAGAGAAAAGAAATCCTGCGAGTTGAGCGAGTCTTGTGCCATTTGCAAGTTCGCTAAGCGCTTGGCAACACTGCCTTCGGTTGTAGTTAGACACAAGGCCTCAAATAAGTTGTGAACCAGTGAACGAAACGTGGCCCTACGCTGATTCAGGCAAGCCACCTGATCACGCCGGTGGAAACGCAGGCGTACTGGCTTGGCTGTCTTCCCCTTAATTTGGTTCTTAAAGTGAGGCTCCGGGTTGCTCTCAACTGCGTGGAGGGCCTTGCAGTACCTCGTCACAGCCACATGGGGGAAGACGAGGGGCTGTCCCTGGGAGAAGCCGGGTCCTCGCTGGTGACAGGGCTTCCTGTGTGCGAAAGGGAATGGGAAAAGGTTGGGAACCCAGGTCTCCTGGGGCCGGTCCCCGAGGGGACCAAGGAACTAGGATCAAGATGGTTCCCGACTCTTAGGGGATGTTCCTGGTCCTTTCAAGTGTAACGGGAGGTTGTCTGGTGTGAGGGGCCCTCCAATGACGGGCAGTGGTCCCTCCCTCCCTTCTAGCGAGCCCCCAGTTTTCACTGGAGCTCTGAGGTCCCATTTTCCAAGCTCCCGATCAGCCCTAGACTGGATCTGGGGGGAGAGGCTCTCGAGGTGACAGGGTCATCTGGTATTCATATCTCTCTCCTCCTCCCTCCGTACTTCTCTCCACAGAGCTGTTTCTTCAGCCTTTTTACTTTTCTAGTTAATTTTTTTCATTATATGTTTATTGTGTGTATACGCGCGTGGGTGTGGGTGTGCGTGGGTGTGGGTGTACGCGGGCGCCCGTCTGCGCGCAAACCCACACATGTGCCATAGGGGTGTGTAGGTCAGGGGGATAACTTGCCAGAGTCAGGCCTCTCCTTCCACTATGCAGATCCTGGGGTTCAAATTCAGGCAATTGCTTCATGGCAAGCGCGATTACCCATTGAACCAACTTTCAGGCACCACGTTTTGTTTTGAGGCAGGTTCTCATCTGAGTTGCCCCTTGCTCGTTCAATAGTACAGGTGGAATGCTCCTGCCTCAGGCACCAGGTCCAGCTCAGTTTCTCCCCACCCCCAGTAGTTAACTCTTTCTTTCTCTCTGTTTGTTTCTTTGCGGGTCTCAGTTCACAGGCCCCTCCCTAGGTCATCTCCCAGCACCTGTTACCATCCGTGAGTACTTGTTTGTTCTGTTAGGTGGCATCTGCCTCCTCCCCAGGAGCAGGAATGGAAAGGCTGGCCATCTTGTCTTTCTTGACTTCCCGTGAAGTGTCTGCTCAAGAAATCTTTATGGGTTACCCAATGGGAGGAGGGATTGGAGTTCAGTGGGACCGATCCAGGAAGTCTTCCTGGGAGAAGTTTAGGCAAACAGCTTCCGAGTGGGAGGAGGAGCGGCCGTTTCCAGGAGTGTGGTAATAGTTGGCACTGGCCGGAGGTCATTCTTCCCACTCTAATTGCCCCACACCCTCTCCTGAGACCCCAGCCCCCCTTCTTTCTCCAGGGATGCCCCCATCTGTCCCCAGGTTCCCTGAGTATCTGGTGTTCATCCCTTTCATCACCCAACCCTGACACCCAGGAGGCTGGCTCCTACCCCAGTGCATGCCGTGATGGAGCAATCAGGGTTGGGCCTCACCTCCTACCCACATCAAGTTCTATCACAGTTGGGGTGTGTGGGGGCAGGCAGTGAGACACAGGGGTTCACTGATGTTCTCAGAGAAGGAACAGGGTGGCTAGACCTAGGGATGGGGTTACAGAGTCAGTAGGATCCCATCTCTCTATGTATTCATTCAAAGAGAGTGGGATCCTGGGAGATTTTTCCTCTTCTTCCCCACTCCATGACTGAACTGTTGTGACCTCCCTTATTGAGGACAACCTACCCCCTCCCCACTCTATTGGAGATGGGACACTTGGGGAGCACAAAGTCACCAAGGCAGTGTGGATGGAGGAAATGAGGAGCATGGAGAAGGGGTCTAACATCAGTGCTTAACAGAAATCATTTCACTCCTGAAAATTTACCAGGGAGCCAAACCTATCTTTCCAGCTGCTCAGGAGGCCAGCCTGGGAATTGTGTGTGTGTGTGTGTGTGTGTGTGTGTGTGTGTGTGTGTGTGTGAGAGAGAGAGAGAGAGAGAGAGAGAGAGAGAGAGAGAGAGAGAGGGTTAGGGTTAGTTCATGCTAACGTGGGTGCTCATGTCTGAGTACCAGACAGAAGGCAACCTCGGTATCACTCCTCAGGAGTCATCCACTTTGTTTTCGAGACAGGGTCTCTCATAGGCTTACACATGTCTGGGCTGGCTGGTTGGTGAGCTCAGGAATCCACGCCGCTACACAGCTTTTTACAAGAGTTCTAGGGATCCGACTCAGGACCTCATGTATGCATGACAAGCAGTTCACTGGCTGCACTGTCTCTTCCGCCCCTGGTCTAGGACCCTGAATGAGACCCTGTCACAAAAACTAAAAAGAGGGCCGACAAGATGGCTTGGCTGGTAGAAAGCCATCACTGACCTCGACACACACATGCACCCACATACACACTAAGTGTAAAAATTAAAAACAAAAATAGTAAAAGACAGCTGAGGATGTATGTAGCTCAGTGGCAGTTTTGCCAAGCATGTATGAAGCCCTAGGTTCAACACCCCCAGTATCGTAAAACAAACATAATGTTTGGATCATCTGGAAGGTGACAAGTGAGGACAAGTCATCGGACTGACACAGCCAGCTTTTGCCTCCGCAGGGGGACAGAATTCCTTTGCCTGAACACTGAGTGGATCGGCTTGTGTTTAGAGGTGTTGTGTCTTTACACACTACAGTTACAAACCCGGGTCCAGAGCAGAGTGCTGTCTTTGTTTGATTACCTACCCTTTTTGTTTGTTTGTGTTCTGAGATAGGATCTTGCTATGTAGCCCAGGCTGGTCTCCAGCTCTCCAGGCCCCTATGGCCACCACACCCAGCTAGAACATTACCTTCAAAGACATACTTGATGTGGGAAGCTGGTTTTTCTATGTGGGACATCTGGAAACTAAGGTAACTAATTGCAGGTTTATTGTAGGACATGGTTGCCAAAGCTCGGGTTGAGCTCAGAGCCTTGAACATGCTCTACCACTGAGCCAGCCACACTCAGACTCCCTCACTGGTGGACTCCAGGCATGTGCTCTACCACTGAGGTACATCCTCAGCCCCCTTTTGCTTTCTATTTTGAGACAACATGTCAGTAAGTTGCTCAGGCTAGCCTTGAACTCACTGCCTTGATCTTTGCATCCTCCTGCCTCAGCTTTGGGTGTTCCTAGGATGACAGCCCTTCACTGTGCCTGGCTAGTTCCTTCTTTTTGTTTGCTGAGAGTGTCTGGCTGAATTCGTTTAGATTAACACATACATGCTTCAAGCTTTGGTCACAAAGCTCATCTGGCCAAGGGGGCTCCCGCATCTGCCCTGCACTCGCTGGTCAAGGGTCTAATCTTACCAAATGCTACGGCACGGGAGCAAAGGACTGTCAGAGACCCAGCTCAAGTCTTGGAACCCCAGTGCTCTCACACTGGCCCTGCCACACACCCGCACCAGGCATGCGACCTTTGTTAAATTATTTAACCTCTGTATTTGCCGTGGCTCCCCCACCCACAGAATGTGGGTAATTAGAATGCATATCTCCCAGAACTTCTGATAATTCGATGAGATCATGCACTCAGAATACTTAGCACAAGGCCTGCCACAGAGTCAGAACTGGCAAGGTTATTGGTACCATTAGGTGGAAAGGAAAACATCTTTGAGACATCACTATGCTACAAAAGCCCCACCATAGAGCAGAGCCCAGAGCCAGGCAGGGATAATAGTGTGGTGTTGGTGTGGGCTAGTCTGTGTTTGGGTACTGTGTGAGCCAGCGCTGAAATTGGATTCCACCATTAGCGTGTCTAAATGGA